CTCTCTCTCTCTCTCTCTCTCTCTCTCTCTCTCTCTCTCTCTCAAATAAAAAAAAATAAAATAAAAAATAAAAAATAAAAAGCCAAATAAATGCAGAATAATCCCCCATCTCCTCCTAGCAGTGTCCAGCACCATAACTAGATCAGGTCATATATGCATGATCAAAGGGTAAAATGTAAGATATTGGGTTCCTTCATTGTCTTTATTCTTCAGTATTCTGCTATTTACACATGAATAAGCCCAGCATTCTGCTCACACCATTTGGGAAATATTTGGAGTATCTGAAAGCAATTAAAATGATTTTGAACAACAGTAATAACCTCCATGTGAAAAGAACAAGCGAAGAGCTATTTGGCAAATGTTCTCTGTTTCACTGTGAAGAAACTCATATTGTATTCATATTCTTTCCTACTTTGAAGAAATTTGGTAGAGATTTGAGAAGAACAACTGATTTTTTTTCTTTGATTCTCCTGTTTTCAGTCTCCCAAGCACTGTGATTGCAGGCACGCACCACCACACTCAGTCTCAATCAGAGTCTCAGCACATCCAGGGGGTGAGGCCAGCAGGGCACACCAGGGACTGAACTGCAGCCACTGTGCTCTGTGTAAGCAGGCGCTTTAGTCCACTGAGCTATCTGGCCGATCCTACCTGATTCTTAGTTAAAATACTTTATAGTTAATGTTTATTTTGATTGCAGATGTTGAACATCACTATGTTCCCATTATTCACAGGGAAATATTCATCTTATTTCGGGCATGTGTGTTTATATTTTTAAAGAGAAAATGACCATTCCAACCATCAAATTCTTAAAAGAATACATAACCTTAAGAAAGAATAAAATCTATTAGCCAGTATTATCTTTGATATCATAAAAAACAACTGACTCAGTCCTCATCTTTTGAAGCTCAGTGTTTGGTTGTTCCTGAGAAAAATGTGTGACATCATTTTCGGTATTTGTTTTCTCTTTTTTAAAAGCTTCCTTCCTCCCAGCTACTTTAACTATGACTGTGAACAAGGGAGATAATGTAAGTATATCTTTCAAAAAGGTGGTAATTAAAGAAGAGGACGCCGTGATTTACAAAAATGGTGAGTGTATGTTTCATCTCTTTTTGGTGCTATAGTGTGAGACATCAGATAACACTTAATATGCTAGATCATTTTAGGGACAGATGTTTGAAGTAACACTGCTATGATACAATCTTACTAGTTCTATCTGGGATAAGAGCCCCCTTAGGCAATGTTTGATTACTTAATCAAATAAATCAGGGGGAATTTAGATGCAGTCTGTATATTGATGAATGTGCTTATATGTGCTCATAATGAAAGCCTATCAATATAAGGAAGGTCCCAAATTCTGTTTCTCTGCAGATGATTATATCAAATAAAGGAATTGAGTAATGGATGTATCTGGGAGAACGTTAGATTTTATTCACATGCCTTCTATTAACTGGGCAATGTTGTATTCCAAGCCTAAGACAGAGACAAAGTTTTCAGTAAATCGTGGGGTGGTTGATTTGTGAGGACGGACAAGGAAATGAAAGAGTGTTTGAAGTGCCACCTACTGTTTTCTACTCTTCCCTCTCATCAGGCTCCTTCATCCATTCTGTGCCCCGGCATGAGGTCCCTGATATTTTAGAAGTGCGCCTGCCACATGCTCAGCTGCAAGATGCTGGTGTGTACTCAGCCAGATACATAGGAGGCAACCTCTTCACCTCAGCCTTTACCAGGTTGATTGTCCGGAGTAAGTGACTGAGAGGCCACTGTCTATGATGGTGTGGGCTGTTAGGATTTTTAGTTGCGAGGAATAGAAACTGACTGGCTACTGAAGCACAATGTAGGGGCTGATTAGAAGGGTGCTAAGGACTCTTAACAAATTAGAAAAGTGAAGACACAGGTTCCAGAAAAGAAAAAAGGCGCAGGGGAAGTTCTGGGGCTCAGTGGGAGACTGCAGGGGAGATTTCTCCTAAGATGCTGCCATCAGCTACCACAATGTTTACTTCTGGGTGTTGAATTCACAGCAGAACGAAATGAGCCTAAAATATCAGCCCTATACTGGCCCATAGCAATGAGCTATAGGCAAAATTATAGTCATGTAGTACAGCTTGAGACAGGCACTGGCAGAATATTCCTGCATGAAAGGACAATCACAGCAAGCAGTATAGTTACCCTGAAGGTGACAGTTATAAAGGGATGGATTGGGCCTTCCAGGCCACGCTAACCTCTAGTGAAACATTCCCTGTAAATCCAATACTTTCCAAATAATTTAACTCTAAAATGTCATTTTTATTTTTATAGTTGAGAAATGTAAGAGCTAAAAGTAGTGATAATCCTCCCCTATAACTTTATAGAGAGAGTAATAAATACCAGTAATTTTTATAGGAAATTAATCTATAAGACATAAAAGATTTGCCTTAAATTTTGTCCCCCTATGTTAAGGAATTTGTGCTATTAAATATTTAGGCCTTTATCTCTACATACCAGAGATGTTCTATTATTCTTCTGTACCAGTGATAGTGAACCTTTCAGAGCTTTCAGTGATAACAAACAGTTGGCTACAACATGGGTGCTATAGGTTCGCCACCCTATGCAGCTCTATAATGTTATAGATATATTATGATAGCATTTCTAACTCAAGAAGATAACATATCTTGCTTTGCATTTCACTTACTCATTCATTTATACACTCATTCATTCATTCATTAAAATGTTTTGATCATGACTCTGCCAAGCACTATGTTGATATTGAGAACTGAATGTGACAAGAGAGAAGAAAAAAAATCTGAGTCATTGTAGGTAAATTTGTGCAGCTTGGGATCGTAGTGTTAAGTGAATACATCAAATGCACAAGCTCAAATATTTCTTATATGAGAACCCAAAATGTAAACAAAGAGCAAAAGAAAGGTAAATAAGAACAAGGGAGATGGGGATTTTGCAAAAGGTAAGGGACTGAAGAGAGGGAGTGAAGGATGAGGGGAGGGAAAGGGGATGCAAAAAGAGTGAATGAAGCACCATGCCCTGTGAAGCATGTAATCATCCTGCATTGCTAGCATGGAGTAATGAAAAAGAAAAACTAAAAACGAATGATAAAGCATTATCCCTTGGGTTATTCCCAGTCTGAGCAGGTGTTCATATAATTAAATAGGTATTGCAATATGAAAAATGTGGTTCATTTAGTTTATGTCCTGTGTTAAGACACCTCTACAGGTATTCACTACAGCAAGGCATTTTGTAGGCAGCGCTATTTGAATTTGAATTAGGAGGAATCCGTTGATATGCCCAGCACCTCTTTCCTCCCAGAATACTGCTTTTTTGGCCTTTTCTCCATTAAATGTCAGGGCAGTGTTTGCGTAAGACCATTCCTTTAAAAGACTATGACACAACAATTCTGTAGGAAAGCTGCGATGTTCAGCTTCCAGGAGCTGGCTTCTCATTAGCCCTGCGCATAGTATCTGTTGACTTGGGTCTCTTCAATTCTACTTTTATTTCACTCAGAGGAGAGTTTGGATGGCAAGGAGGCATCTGGCACAAGTGTACCAGTGGACTCCAAGTCTGGAGTAAACAACATCAGAAATACCAGTTTACGCATGGTTCTTTAGAACAGAAGAAATAGAGTGGCTTTCTACCCACACTCATTGGACACAACACTTCCAACACCCGATGAATGGGACTTTTCCTCTCCACACCAAACAGTTCTCCAGTGTACGTTGGCTGAGGATCCTCCAATTTAAAAACAGTTCTGACTCTATTTCCCTAGAGGCAGCACCAGACCCACAGGTTAAGAACTCAGTCCAATATGATACCCCTATTTCAGGTGCCATTTGTAAGCCCTGGTCAATGACCTGTGCTTCTGACCAATCATCTATAAATCCATCACTCCTAAGACCTCTCCTTCCCTTGATTAATTTGGTAGACAGCTCACAGAACTCAGGGAAACACTTAGTTACCAGTTTATCATAGACTACATTACAAAGGATACAGATAAATAACCATAGAGAAGAGATGCCCAAGGCAAGGTTGGTGTAGGGCTTCCATGCACTCTCCAGGTGTATTAACCCCTGTGCCTGAAAGCTCGCTCTCTGAGCCTTGTCTTGTAGGATATGTATGTATATATGGTTTGTGTTAAAAATCCCATTGGTTGTATTTGTAGGATTTTCTAAAGAAGTATAAATTTGTTCTCTGAAGGAAGATTTCTCATAATGTAAGTTTTTGTGTGCCACAAATAAACAGTTTCTTAAAATATGGAATTATAGGGCTTTTGAAGAAAATAATATATGCCCAAACTTATAAATTATCAACAAATTCTTCTTGACTTCTTCATTCCAAAGAGGACACTCCTGTGAGTCTTTCTGGGATAAGTTGCTAAGCTGGTATAGGCCTTCCAGTAGACGGGAGGGTGGAGAACACAGGCTCATGTAACCAGAGGCCATTCCATCTACATTGTTTGCCATCATTTTTACATGGGTAATTAACCCGTAGTCCCTCTCTCAAGTTATCAGTGATTATCCTGAGGCTTCTCCCTTTATAGAGGAATATAAATATCACTTCTTAAACATTTGTTTTGCTTTCTCTGTTAAATGGAAGGCTGAAAGAAACTGTCTGGATTGATAGTTTTCCAGATTATTTAAAATAAAATATTGATAACCCAGAGCTATTGCCAAAGAGATTATGACGTTATGTCAGTTGTAGGTACAAATCCAAGATTATCACTGTGAGACAAATATTCAGGGATGAAGACAGTTGTACCCCTCAGAGGAGAAAGGAAACTCCATTTCTGACCCCAGAAGGTCATCCTGGCTGCGCAGGGTTTTCCTTATATTAGCATTTAACATCAGACCTAATTAACAAAATGTTGGAGATAAATAAGCAGGAAAGATGAATATGAGAGATTTTACTAGTCTTGTGCTCTTTATTTTACATATCATATTTCAGTTGTTTTCATATCTGGTTTCTAGCTAAAGGAAAAATATGTGGATGCTATTAGTTATTCTTTCCCTGTCTGGCCTTATTCTTCTTTACTTACTCTTTCTAGGCCACAGGTTCTCAGACTGCAGCATGTGTCAGAGTCACTGGGAGGGATTGTTGAGCATAAACTACTGGGTCACCACCAGAGTTTCTCTTTCAGTTGGTTTTGGATTGGGCAGGGGTGGTCTATCATTTCAATTTCCATCAAAGCTCAAGGAGATAGAGATGCTCTTGGCCAGGGATACTTGCAAAACCATTGTTACAGTCCCTAACCATATATACAGCTCTCTGGACATGCCAGGTTCTTGTCCTATCCCTTGCCTTTGCCTGGAGTCTGTTTTGCAGCATTCTTTTCTCTATAGCTAAGATACAGGCCAGATTCAGTTCCCATCCCACTTGCTCTGAGAAGGCTTCTTTTGTACCTTCTTCTGTATACAAGAAAGAATTCAGTATTCCTTGTCTGTATCTATCATTATTTACTCTTTACATGCCTATCTTCAATATTACATAATTAACATTTAGAGGGCAAAGACTATATTTTTTATTGGTGCATGATTTTAGCATATAATGTTTATATTCATCTTAGGGATAGGTACATGTACTTAAGGTATGCTAATATTTTTCATTTCCTTTCCCCTTTCTGCACCACCTTACCCCGTATCTAATTTACCTTCCCATTTCCAAAGCATCTGTCTCCCTGTTTCTTGTCTATCTTTAATTTTTTAAGGTTGTTTCTGTACTTTGGGCTTTTCTTACAAGAAAAGTATGTTATATTTAAGTTTGTGCACATAATTTATTTCACTTAATGTATGGTCTCAAGGTGCTTCCATTTTCCTATGAAGGCCCCAAATTTATCCATCTTTATGGCACAATAATACTTCATACTTTCTTTGTCCATTGATCTGTTGATGGACTCATAGGCCACTTCCAAGATTTAGCTATTGTGAATTGTGCTGCTATTGTATGAACATATATAGTACATATCACTCTGATATCATGTCATTAACACTTTTAAGAAGATACCTATAAGGGGAATAACTATATTAAATAAAATGTCTCATTTCCATTTCTTGAGGAATCACCACACTGATTTCCATAGAGGCTGTGATGATTTATCTTCCTCTTTGTAATATAGAAGTGTATGTTTTCCTCCACAACCCCATCAGCACTTGTTTGATTTTGCATGATAACCTTTCTTTCTGAAGTAATGTGGAATCATAATGTTCACTTAATTTGTGTTTCTCTGATGGCAAGAAATGCTGAGCATTTTTTTTTCATGTAATTATTGGCCATTTAGTGTTAGTATTTAAGATTCCCATTTTTTGATTGGGTCTTTTATTTTAGAGGGCCGAAGTTATTGTTAAATTCTAGTTGTTATTTCTCTATCAGAGGAGTCA